AGTTGTTCGATTCCCAATTGTTCTCCGGGTACCTTAGGTTTGGTACCTCCAAATCTAGTGACTCACACAGGGAGAGCACCCCGGTTTCCCTTTAAAGGCTGCTGCATATTCAAAAGCTTCCTTCAGTGATTGATGCTGTCCACAAAGGCCTTGATTCGTTGGCCTTCCTGCTGATGTTAGTCGTCCCCTGATTCGATGATTCCATTCGAAGCTCAAAATCGCCTCGACTATGAGTCTTGTTTTGTTACATCCATACCTGTGCTTGTGGGTGTCACCAATCTCATTAAAATCAGATGTTAGGTCTCACTACAGCTAAACTAAGATCTAAGGACATCCCATTACGGGTCACGTCAGAACGACCTTTCATCCAACCAATCAGAGCGTCGCTTACCAGATCGGGATAGTGACTGTCGGAATGTGCTTTCAATTCATGCAACCTCGAAAAGGTTAACACGGTGTATTCCGAACGACATTTACGGTGTATTCCGAACGACATTTACGAAGTGCACGACAGATTCCGTCAAAATCATCGTCTTTCTCTCTCTTCAATTGGATAACAATTTGAAACGGAAGAAACTTCCCATAACCCGTGGGATCTATTGCCATACAATCCCGGATTTGTTCTTTTGGTTATTTAAATAAAATCAATCGAGAACCATAAATGTGTAGTCTGGAAATGAAGTCGCCTGTTTGAAACTTGTTGCCATAAAGATCGAGAAAACTGCTTTCTGACTGGCTAAAGTCAACTTCTTGTAAGTCATTTCATTGGTCGGTCACATAGAGGGATTCTTGAATCTGAATTAGAAGTCCCCCTGTCAAATGAACAAGTTTTAAATGATTAATGAATAAACCATTGACAATAAAACACAATCACCTTTATGCAAAATATGAATATCTCCATATTTGTAAGTGTTAATTCTGCAGTGACGAACAGGAGACATTTGATCATCCCTTCTATGATTCTCATAAAGTTATAAATTTAATTATTCATCTTCAAACTTGGTATGACACACAAATACTAGTGTATAGGTTATAAAACAGTCTATTCTACTTGGAGTCCCGGCACAGAGCATTCAACTTAATCACTTATTAAAAAGCATCACCCATATATGCAAATATAAGGAACTAACTTGAACATCAATGCAGATGATAAGACACAATAACAACATTTTCACCTTCATACAAAGGTGAGATATCGCATCAGTCAAAACAAATGGTCTGGTACTGCTACATATCAACGAAGATGATAAGACACAATAACAACATTTTCACCTTCATACAAAGGTGAGACATCGCATCAGTCAAAACAAATGGTCTGGTACTGCTACATATCAACGAGGATGATAAGACACAATAACAACATTTTCACCTTCATACAAAGGTGAGACATCGCATCAGTCAAAACAAATGGTCTGGTACTGCTACATATCAACGAGGATGATAAGACACAATAACAACATTTTCACCTTCATACAAAGGTGAGACATCGCATCAGTCAAAACAAATGGTCTGGTACTGCTACATATACAGAAACACACACTGTCCATCTCCATCTCCGATTCCCATTGTCATCTATCGCATAGTATCGCCTACGTCTATTCCAAATGATCACAATGCCCTATTACACCCGCGTCACGAAGAGATGTATGGGCTACAATGTAAATCGTGATTAACGCCGCACTCAGCAATATTCCAGCTATATGATGGCGGTATGTAAATAATCGAGTGCGGACCTGGCAATCCAGTGATTGACATCATGAGCATCGATCCACGCAATTGGGATACGATGACATGCTTCAACCAAGTCAGCGAGCCAGACCACCAGATCGCGTTAGTCGCATCTTACGACAAGCATAGTTACCTTTTACGACAAGCATGAGATGCGGAAGACCTATTCTACCCCGGATCTTCACGGGTCTTTCTTAGAAGTAGTAGTAGTAGTAGTAGTAGCAGCAGTAGTAACAGTCGTAGTTGGAGCACTAGTGAGACCCCTTTGATGCATTTTAATTTTAATCTGCAAACATAAAAGTGAGTGAGTGAGTGAGTGTGTGTGTATGGTTGTACGCCGCTTTTAGCAACAATTCAGCAATATGACGATATATATGTAATTCGACCGCCAGGCCAACGATTTATCCGCCTTATGGCAACCTAAAATTATCAGGATTTAAAATATGTTATGTTATCTACCAGGAGATAATATATTCAATGCCAATGTCATCAGACATGTTCAATATGTATTACAATGGCTACACAGCCTACCTGTAAACGGACATCCTTGTACATCATATATTCGAGGCGCGCTCTCTAGAACGAGTGAAAAAGGAAGCCAACCCGAACATTAAAACGCTTTTCTCCCACAATCCATATTGATAGGCAAATCTGAAAAGATAAACACATGTGAGTTTTATTTGTGACAGAACAGATTATTTTCAGAAAAGTGAGTGAGTGAGTGAGTGAGTGAGTGAGTGAGTGAGTGAGTGAGTATGGTTTTACGCCGCTTTTAGCAATATTCCAGCAATATCACGGCGGGGGACACCAGAAATGGGCTTCATTCAGAAAAGAAAAAAACAAACACTTCAAAGTATATACGTACAGTCTGGAAGGTGATTTAAGGTACCGACGTTTACTACAATATCTGTGTTCGTCACAGGTGGAACGAGCATTCATTGACACAGCCATCTGAAAGGGTGCACGGGAATCACTCACGTTGAGACGCCAAACGCTAACACCGTATTCGTGCGTGCATGATTCCCGTGCAACCTTTCGAGTTGCGTTGATTGGTCCAACTGTCATATGGCCCTGTGACGCAGGGGTAGCATTATGCAGATGGCTGTTTCAATGAATGCTCGTTCCACCCGTGACGAACAGGTCTGGTTGTTGATGAAATATAGTGATAGCTAAATAGACAGATTTTTTATTCATGCACCGATTGTCTTTAAATGTAATATCCAGTTATGTATGACTGTTTAATAATCTCATACCAACTTTGACTGAAGTAGGTCTAATAGTTTTTCAGATATTATAGTAAACGTCGGTACCTTAAATTACCTTCCAGACTATACACTGCCGTTTCGACAAGCGAGAGAGGCGAGTGTTGAATTACCCTCTATTTCATACCCACCAGGGCCCTCTACCGGGTAGAGTAGTTACCTCCCTTGTCAATTGCTTGCCACAATTTACCCACAATTTCATACTTCAACCAAGTCCAAGAGAAAGGGAAACGTTAAATCTATTCTGCAGGTTATCCTTGAGACAGCCATCTTTGGCGTTCTCACTTCTCCATGTACCGTGTCTTTGAACATGTGATCTGGAACACCGTTGTTTGCTGTAGCGATATCACACCACTTGGTTAGCTATGCAGACAGAACGTGTTTATGTTAGGCAGAAATAGGTGAAAGAATCGATGATCAATTCTCTGAGACGAGAATAAGACAGAGGGATATGTTCTTTTCTGAGAACATAACCGGAAAGTGTTCAGGTTAATTTCTAAAGTAAATTCATTGGAAACTGGAAAGAATTTGCAGCCGATTCTAGATATTTCTCCTAACAAGCCACGTGACACAGCTTGGAGTTTGTCCAGCCGATGACGAGCCAAGCGCCATCTCTATAAACATCGGTGTTCGGTCGTTCATTGAATAGATCCATACGCTTATCATACAAAATAATATCAGATCTTGCAATGTGAAGAAGTTCAGCTGATCTTAAAACCCCCCACAAAAAAACGACATAAGCTAGTTAGCACATTGAAACAATTCTTAGGTCAACCAGTGTAGACTGCAGCATTCTAGCCTCGTACAATATATCAAGTAAAGCTACTGTAATAGACTTTCTATTCAGCAGATCTGCGAATTTTCGCTTAGCAGCCTCCAAAGGATTCCTGACCAAACTATTCTCCCATGGACTTGGAAGACCAACACACGCATGAGCATGACGAATGTTATAGAATGATGTTTAAACCAACACATTGTCTATTCTAAACATCAGGCGATAAATATAATTCACAGTGCAAAGGGGACAATGGCAATTTCTCAGACATGAACATGATTGTGCCCACCGTTTCCATGCTCCGAAACCATAACGGTATTTCCTAGTTGTGGAATCTGCTCTGGAGTGAGAACAACTTTGGCAATGCAGCAGCTGAATCACGAACACCGCTTTGTAAACCTGGATGTCATCTCCGTTGGCACAGACAAACCACCCATATAACCAAAACATAAATGATCAGAATCTTCTGTAATGAACACGAAGAACTTACATATCGAAATGCAAATTATGTTCACGAATAATCCTCCTTTCACTCTGTTCTAGGCAAATACATCCACTCAGTAACCAGTGGAATAAACATAGGATTAGCCATCGAGGGTTCCTGAGTTGAAATTGTATTGATTCTTATTTCCCTCCCTGGAGCATGAATATTTCAGAATCGTCTTTCAGTCTCTTAAGGTCCTTGGCTGTCTGAATAATGCAATCTCTCAAAGGATAAATCTTGTTAATCACCGAAACCTCAATCTCTTCACGGTTGGAGTTCTGTTTCTCTAATAAAGCGCTTCTCCGTGGTTGTATAGCACTGATCCATTGCAGGTATATACGTGCACTGCCGAGTCGACAAGAGAGAGAGAGACGAGATGTCCATTTAAAAATATTATCCTCCTGTTCAAACCCATCAGGAGAGTAGTAGAGTAGTTACCCCTCTTGCTCACTACTTACCACTTTTATACATCCTGTTCCTGAAAATACCCCATCAGACGCTTAATCGTAACCCTGAAATAATACCAGCCTTTTAGCCTTTTAGAACTCATACTCCATTGCGTACTCGTATTTCCATCCCTGCATTGATAAAGCGTCTTCTCATATAAAACTAACTTCATTGCAAATTCTGAACTGATGGCGAGGACTTCACTGCATAAAACATTCAGCTCATGTTCTTTCACCTGGTGAGCAGCATTGCGTTATTGTACATGGTGCAAGGCAATGCGTTGTAATTCTGTTTGTTTTGGCAGGTTGTGGCGGCACCTACACCGGAAGTAGCGGCGATATCTTCTCCCCTAGCTACCCTAACGACTATGGGGTCAGTCTTACCTGCACGTACAACATTGTGCCGTCCGCCCCAGGGTCCCTGCAACTGGTGTTCGTGGACTTTGAGACAGAAGGTCCCTATGACTACGTGCGCGTAAGCCAACGATTTATTCTAAAATTCCACAATACTTTCTTTCCCATTCTTTTACAGAATACCTACATGTACACTTATCTTTATCCAGCGAGTCTATGTAGGCGAGGAGGACTGGTTCCATTTACCAAGTGTAAAGCCCTTCCAGTGTGATAATTTGGAATATGCCTAAAACCTAACGTTCTAACGCAAGAGTGTACCGTGTTGTCAAAATAATATGGAAGAGGTGAGGTAAAATGGGTATCAACGTCATGTTCTAGACCATAGCACTGATATAGCGATGTGCAATCGTCAACGTGTGTGTGTGTGTGTGTGCTTTTGTACTAGTCTTGACTAATGCCGTTTTCTTAGTGCTAGCCCACTAAGATACCATGTACTAGTTTAACATGGATGCCCCACTTAGACACAGTATACTGACTCCGAGTCGACATTTATTCCTTTAAGCGCCAGGTAAGGTAATAACAAGTACCCTCTTTTAACATATACACAACATCAAAGGTTCCTGTGACACCAATATTTTAGTGTATTTTTCAAACAAGTAAAGTTTGACATCGTGCTTACAACAACCACTCAGAAAAATAACAAATTACGCAATTATTCAACATTACGAAATGCCACGCCTGTCCGAAAATGAGCGTCTGCGAGCCATTGGTATGCTTGAAGCAGGGTCGGGTCAACGTAATGTAGCAAGACAATTTAACGTCCACAGAAACACCATTTGGTGTTAATGGCAACGTTGGCAACAGACGAATGCAGTCAGAGACCATCCTCGGAGTGGCAGGTCACGCGTAACAAATAATCGACAAGACAATTGGATTCGAACAACACACCTACGAAATCGATTCCAGCCAGCAACAGTGACTGCAAGAAGCATCCCTGGCCTTTGACAAATATCTCCACAAACCGCACGTCGTCGCCTCAGATGTGCAGGGATTGTCGCCAGAAGACCCGCCAGACGTCCCATTTTGACAGGAAACCACCGTCAAGCACGTCTACAGTGGTGCAGACAGCGTCTACGCTGGACGGGCTATGCAGTGGGGACAAGTTCTATTCACTGACGAGTCTCGTTTTCACCACAGTCACAGCGATGGACGGATTCGAGTGTACCGACGTCGAGGTGAACGTTACCTCAATCATTGTGTCATGGAAGAAGATCCGTTCGGGGGCGGCAGCGTCATGGTATGGGGTTGGATTACAGCAAGACAGAGGACCCGTTTGAGGGAAATCTCAATGGACAGCGCTACCGCGACAAGATCGTCTGCCCTGTTGTTCTACCGTTTTTGCGTCGTCATGGCCCAGGCATTACCTTTCAACATGACAACGCCCGGCCTCATATTGCTTGACGTCTGCTCAGGATTCTCTTCAACAAAACAACCTAAATGTCATCCCCTTGCCGGCTCGCTCCCCTGATCTCTCACCAATCGATCACATGTGGGATGAGATGGATCGGCGCCTTCGACGTCAACCACGTGTTCCACAGACACTCCAGAAACTTCGAAACACGCTCCAGCATATATATCCCATAGGACTTTGTGCGACGCCTGGTCCATTCCATGAGACGAAGATGTGTTGCTTGCATCGCAACCAAAGGTGGACACACACGCTATTGATTTGTAAATTGACATTTTGTTTTCTATCCACTAGACCATTCATACGGTCTTAATAAATAATGCATAAAGTCTTTACACTCAATTGCGGCTCTGGGCCATTCGTACCACTTTAATAAAGACATGACCTGAACTCACGAACTGATACGCGTCCTAGAAGACAAAGTGAGGTCAGACTGCCAACTGGTCCCAGTGTAGTCGCTCTTTAGGAACCAGGGGCGGCCCAGTCGTCTGATGCGTCGCAATTGGCAGTGCAGAGTTACGCCCTATAGGCGTGCCAGAAACCTTGGGTTCTCATCCCAGATTCGCCCTAATAATATTTCTTGGTTTGTAAGCTCGTGGATTTCACCAAAGTGGTAAACGTATACGACCTGCATCACTTCAGGGTTTTCGGACTGTAATATGACGAAGATACAGCCAAAGTCACAAGTCCCTCTTTAACTATCAAATTCTTTCTATCTTGTAGGTTTACAACTCTTCTGATGTCCAAATAGCGAGTCTGACGGGGTCGCGGACCGGTGCGGTAATGCAAACATCAAGCAGCTACAAGGTGGTTTTTACCACTGACCCCTGGACCGTAAAACGTGGATTCAAGGCCACCTGGGCAGGTAAATGGACTCAGTCAGGTATGAGTGAATGAGTTTGGACAGCGTCTGTACTCTACATGCTTGCACACACCACGTTCCACCATCGCCCATATATGCGGTGCAGTGGTAACGCGTGTCTATTGTGATGCAGCTAAAGAAATGAGGCTGTGTATAAAACACGGCAGTCAAATGAGCCCTACTCCGGTTATGAATCTTTTGGGAACCCTACGATTACAATGTATGGAGCCGATGATCGCAGGGCTCTGGTCCATGTTACACACGTTATATCATGCGAGAAACATTACTGTTTATGCGATGTGATCTGAGTCCTCATTGGCCACGGCTATCTCTATCTAAAAGGAGGCCATGCCTTGCATTGTTGTTTTGTTTGTTTGTTGTTTAACGCCGAACTCAGCAATATTCTAGCTATATGACGGCGGTCTGTAAATAATCGAGTCGGGATCAGACAATCCAGTGAGCATCGATCCACGCATACGATGACATGCATCAACCAAGTCAGCGAGCCTGACCACCCGCGTTAGTCGCTTCTTACGACAAATATAATTGCCTCTCACGACAAGCGTGGGTTGCTGAAGACCTATTCTAACCCGGATCTTCACGGGTCATAATCGAGTCTGACCAGACAACCCAGTGATTGATATCATGAGCATCGATCCACGCAACTGGGATACGATGACATGCATCAACCAACTCAGCGACCGTGACCACCCGACCACGTTATTAGCCTCTTACGACAAGTATGGGTTGCTTAAGACCAAATCTAACCCAGATCTTCCCGGGTGGAACCGAATGGTTGTTAAACACTAGCATTATGGCAAGGCCATGTAATTACGGGTGTTGGGGGAAGGTTATATTATGTATACGAGTCCGTGAAGTATTTTACGATGACATTTGAATCGTGGCTCACTTATTTATAACCATGGAGACGGTAACTTGGTTTGCTGCTGTGAGTAGCATTGAATAGGGACACCGGTAGTTGACAGTGGGAGTACGAGGACACACCAGATCAGGCAAAATACGATAGGGAGCTCATTCAATAACTGTTTCCTTCATACCGACTGCATGATCATATTGACATGTGCATCTTCAGTTCTTTGTGTGTGTCCACAACATTCCTCCATCCCCTTTGGAAACATAGGTTCACCATGGCCGTCAAATCATGAACATTGTGCGAACCGTATCAATGTTTGACATTGAGTCAATCAAGAACAGACGAACTCATAGCTGTGGCACATGATGCACACGTTGTCAAGGGAAACATTACCATTTATGCAACGTAATCTGGGTCCTCATTGGTCAGAGCCACCAGACCAACGTAGAGACCTCCAAGTCCGTCTTCCTCACGCCGACGGCGCTATCTTGCTTTTTATCAACAGATTACGACCCTTCCTCTGGTTCCCAACGGGATGACTTGTGTTTAATTTCTATGTGTGAGCGATTGAGAACACAGCGGCAATAACAGCATTCGCTGAGACTGTTACATTATTCATGTCCGTCTTCCTCACGCCGACGGCGCTATCTTGCTTTTTATCAACAGATTGTGGTACTGTACGACCCTTCCCCTGGTTCCCAACGGGATGACTTCTGTTTAATTTCTATTAATGAGCGATTGAGAACACAACGGCAATAACAGCATTCGCTGAGACTGTTACATTATTCATGTACATGGGTGGTGGTGTCTTGGTTCAGAGTGATTAATATTCTCAGATGTTAATGCTTGGTTTTTTTCAGCTTCACCATCATCAAGCGTTGATCCAGGGTATGGCTTATACACTTCGTGCCCTTTCGACATCGGCTTCACACTGGTCAACACGACCATCACAAAGGTCAAGGTCCTAGAACAGCTGCTCGGTGTTCTGAGTCCTCGTTGCCGAACACTATGTATTCTCCTCACTGCTTGCACTCACTACACGCATGAAGACACTGGAGTGTGTAAACTATACAAGCATGACGCGACAGCCAGTGTCGACTTCGAGAACATTTGGATGAAGAACTAACAAAAGTCAAGAATGTTCGCGGTTTGTAGTTATGCAGAAAGAGCTTATACTTTTAATCGAAGTTAGCTTTGAGAGCCGGTACGAGGACTGTTATTTAATTTTAGTCCTTACGAATGATTGGGACCTTTACAATCGAATCAGATATACGTATCGGTCAGGATACGCTCACCTTTTTTTATCAATCGACTCAGCTTTCATCAGAGATTTCTTATGATTATGGATAGAGTTTTGACAAAAGGATTTCCATGTGAAAGGAATGAATCTGCAAAGAATGTGGTGTATAATACAGAGATAAGTGTTTGGGGCTGACCTCAACCTCTCGGCCTGTACCTAGATTCCATGCTTCTAACACTTTACCTACACTATTGAATAGTCATTTTTAGTGCAGGAATGATACTCTTCAGCGTTGTATACCCTTTTCGCGAACATCTGGTGTCATCACTGATTTTTATAAACATTTCGCTGCTACCTGCGTTTTACGTCTAATGGAATCTGTTGCGGCAGATGGGTGTTCTAAACTGGTTGTTCTCTGGCGTTGAAGTTGGCGTTGGCGTTGGCGTTGGCGTTGGCGTTATATATCTCGGCGGTCGAATATTTATAGATCGCCGTCATATAGCTGGAGTATTGCTCAGTGCTGCGTTAAAACAAATCTTTCTTTCAAACAATAAAAATGTTATCTTTGCTTCCCTTGTGTCTAGTTTGTATTTGCAGTACAAATAAACGATCTATCAATCTATCGGCCATCAGTACTGAGGATAGATGAGGATCTGTTTCAGCAGATAACCGAGAGATTATTCTCTGACGTTATATATCGTATCTTAGGACCAACAACGTTTACAGGTTTCACAACCCTTAGTGTACACTACATACACCCTGTGCACAGAAAAGAACCCACTCGTCCGATGTCAGATTGCCAAATGATGGAAACACGAATATGTACATACACCCAAACACATGTGTCAAAACTTGTGGTGTCACCCTGGGCAAAATGTGCCTGTGTTCACCCAGCACGCGATATGTGAGGTGGATGTGAAAACCCTCTAGCGCCCGTAGGCAGCTTGGGTTGTATACTCCTCAGGGAGTTAAGAATGATAACTGGAATGCAAACGGATCCAGTGGTCGGGGAACAAAACAGTTACTCTAATACTCCACGACATATAATTAGAACAGATAACATTAGCTATATTTACAACATTAAAGTTTTCAAATTATCGAGTCACCTTTTATTGGTTACAGGTTTCAGTAACCAGATAATGTGCCGGTCATACAGTTATCGTTCCTTCATGTTGAAAGCTTTATTTTCCAGCATTTGTCAATAGAAAAAAAGGGGAAGGGGAGGGCAGATCAGTTGCTACTATTGAACCCATCCCTAGTAGGACTTCTTTTGTTGGAAGTAGGAACCCACCTCCACCCGCATCTCTTCGTTATTGAATAGCAAACCACCCCCAATAACAGGTGTCTTCATTATTGAATAGCAAACCACCCCCAATAACAGGTGTCTTCATTATTGAATAGCAAACCACCCCCAATAACAGGTGTCTTCATTATTGAATAGCAAACCACCCCCAATAACAGGTGTCTTCATTATTGAATAGCAAACCACCCCCAATAACAGGTGTCTTCATTATTGAATAGCAAACCACCCCCAATAACAGGTGTCTTCATTATTGAATAGCAAACCACCCCCGATAACAGGTGTCTTCATTATGGAATAGCAAACCACCCCCAATAACAGGTGTCTTCATTATGGAATAGCAAACCACCCCCAATAACAGGTGTCTTCATTATTGAATAGCAAACCACCCCCGATAACACGTGTCTTCATTATTGAATTATAGCAAACCACCCCCGATAACAGGTGTCTTCATTAGTGAATAGCAAACCACCCCCAATAACAGGTGTCTTCATTATTGAATAGCAAACCACCCGTAATAACAGGTGTCTTCATAATTGAATAGCAAACCACCCCCAAAAACAGGTGTCTTCATTATTGAATAGCAAACCACCCCCGATAACAGGTGTCTTCATTATGGAATAGCAAACCACCCTCAATAACAGGTGTCTTCATTATTGAATAGCAAACCACCCCCAATAACAGGTGTCTTCATTATTGAATAGCAAACCACCTCAACCTAAAACATGTTTTCATAAGGTATGAAAAGAAAACGTCACATTATAATGGACAGAACCCAAACATTTATGCCACAAACCTATGGAAACCTTAACCCTGGAAATATCATGAAGTACATAAACATTTCTTTTGAAAATGAGAGCACTATGTGACTATTTGATTTATCTCTGACACTTGAAACCAGATTTAGTTTTATACCTAATGATTTTGGCACGGGTACCAAGAATGGATGATAATAGCTCACTATTTTATGTACTGTGGTATATTAGAACAGAAAGGTCAATAGTAAAGAAACTTAAGCAAAAACAAAGAAGTTCTACACAACATACACCATAATGTCCAGTTCATAACACATTGAAATACACGTATCTGTCTCTGTAGAGAGTCACTCTTATGTGTTCGTGTTTGCCATAGCGCGACTGGCTGATACTAAACCACATGAAATCAACGGTTGAAGCTTGTTCAGATGTCACAATACACATCAAAATGGAACATACTTAGTACAAGTAACATTTTGTAATGCCATGGCAGTCGCGTTTAAAATCGGATCGGAATTCTAATAACACCTTTAAGTGAGTGAGTGAGCTGGATTGAACGCCACTTTGAACAGTATTCCAGTTATATGACAGCATGTCAGCACAAAGTGGGAGGAGACCCCGAATTCTTGGACGTTTAGCACTTGGTGAACCAACGAACAAGGGTAATGTGCTGACTAACCGAAACACATAATCAGGGCGAACCAGGATTCGAACACACGATTATAGGTATATGGCGTGGCCAAGAGAAAGCAACTCTGCAAAGCGAACTGCGGCGCCTTAGACGACTGTGCCACCCGTGCTCTCTCAACTTCAAGACATTCTGTACATAAAAGTGCAGCTACGTAAGCTTCAAGATTTCAAAGGAGATATAGAAAGTTTGATAATTATTCAAGTGTTATGGATGGACGGACAGACGGTGGATAATTTGCAAACACATAATCTAACTGGACTTGCTCATATTTCCCCCACATGTGACACAAACACTGCCGCATGCGTTTTTGTGTAATAACGGAGTCTTTAAACACATCACCTTTGCTAAACTTTGCGAATACCTTCATTAGTGAAAGGTTATGCCGTGAATGAAAATTTACTGTAACAGACATAACCTTTCCTAAGTACAATGAATATTCTATTTTTTAATCTCAAACAAACATTGAGAAAATGCAAAAAATAAAGATAACGTTAAAGATAAGTGTACGAATATATATAAAAAATGCTGCTATTCTTTTCAGAAGCGATTGGGCAATGTAATGACGTACTATAGCCAAGAGACTTGTCGCTTTATAAACAAACCAGTGGGGATAAAAACACTGATGTTAGTCTTTGAGACAATGTTTGGGGTTTGGTACTTCCAGTGGTGGAGTCCAACGGTGCACATAACAGGACAAAGACAAGGAGTCTCTCTGGTATATATAAACACAATACAGAATACGCCGCTCTCTTGTAAAACGAGGTACGGCGTTCAATTGTAATAGCTAATGAATAGGCGTGATTCATGGCATTCATGGCATGCTCATGCGTACAACATACGTCTATGAGGACTAACTGCTGAAGGCAAATGGGTGTTTTGTGGGATACGTTGACGTCAGCATGTTTTGTGGGTATCATGTTGGTGAAAGTGTCTAATGAATTCGTAACGCCTTAAAGTCGACTGGCATTCTTCTACAACTCTATAGATTTTATTAAAAAATGTAGGTCATCTGATCATCATGAACTTCATTTTGGTTGGTTTTCTTTCAGGTGTGAATGGAATAAATGCATGTCAGAAAGGCAACACGTCAATCTGTATACTTCGGTTGTTTAAACAATCTATATAAACATGACATTAATAACCAACGTTCTGAAACGCAGATCCACATGATGATTTTTATTTTTCAAAAGTTGTGAAGACAGAATGTAACGTTTGGGCATATTTCAACGCTCGCAAACTCACAAATATAAATCGCCAAACGTAATATGTACCTTTGCCGCGACTTCGTAATTTAGTAGGACGGGGTACGTGCGCATGCCTAATAAATGATGGTAGCGATACATCTCCCCCTGTGGATGTACTTCTTTCCGGATCTTTTTCGGAAATACTTGTACACGTTTGGGTTTGAAACGTTCAGCCTAACAAAGTAAAAATAAGACATTAACAGTCAGGGCATGCACCACATACCATACAGTGAAACACCGACGTCTTCGAGAAAAGGTGCTCTTCAAATAATTTGATGGGGAAAATAATTCGAGATACAATGTATGGTTTTTAGACCAAACTTATTATAATTAATCATTTGTTATTTATGTTGGACACGTAAAATTGTAATTTGTATTCTCGTCATGTATCCTCATCATCGAAAAGTACCAGAGAGTAATCCGTGACCATTAGTAATATTTATCAAGCATGCGGTGTGGTTAATGTCTGCAGTAAAATGCGATAAGACTCCGACATCACACAATCCGATACTGACTTGTTTTCAGGAAATATGTATTTCAGAACGACTCTGGACATGTTCTTGGCCTATAGCTCAGGCAGTGGTGCATAATTGAGACTTAGCGACCATACTTGTGAGAGGGTAAAAGTTTGCAAACTTGGCAGATGTAAAATTATACATAAAAACGTTTCACTCTTTCAGTAATTCACAATGCATGATGTAATTCATAATTAACAATATTTACACAATACAGTCTGTTCATAAAATGATATAACACGTCCCATTTTAATTCTGGAAACCCAAAAGTCCAGAAACTCTACGGTCTTTGCCCAGTCTCGCTCAAAGGTATTTACAAAATTAAACATGCTGTTTTCATGGGAACATACCAAGGAAGAAAAAATGAAAAAAACATTGTTCAAAAACTCAATATTTACAATATGTCGCCCATGGGCCTGCCCATGGGCGAAGTGTGGCCCATGGGCCTGCCCAGGGACGAAGACTGGCCCATGGGTAGGCCCATGGGCGAGAATATGTTCCTTTACCTAAAACTCATGTTTTTGTTTCGCAAATACATTAAATGTATTCATTTAAGTATCATGACACAAAATATAACTCATTTTAACTCAATTCAACTATTATATAGCGATATTGAAATATTTCGCCCAAGGGCGAGAAAAAGGTTTGGCCCATGGGCGGGAATATGTTAGTTTACTTAAAACTCATATTTTTGTTTCGCAAATACATTAAATGTATTCATTCAAGTATCATGACACAAAATTTAACTCATTTTAACTGAATTCAACGATTTTATAGCGATATTTAAATATTTCGCCCATGGGCGAGAAAAATGTTTGACCCATGGGCGAGAATATGTTCCTTATGAACCCGGCCTTACCTCGCAAAACGTTTTGACAGTTTATCATACGAATTCATGTGCGTGTACTCCAATTCATTAGAGTTATTTTCCACAACATTAAAGTTTAGTTAGTTTCTATTTCATTTCCCATTTTATGTCCCGTTGATACATCACACTGGGCAATTACGTGACACTAGGTATGCATTATACAGGTACGCGTGCGCGTATTTTAATGGAA